GCTGCGCAGCGCCGCGGGGCGGGGAGGACGAGCGGGCGCCGGATCCGGCGTCTCTGCATCGCCGGGGCCGGGGGCGGTGGGGCGGGCCGCGCCGCCCCGTCCCGGGGCTGGGGGCCCGATCGGCGGCGAGGGGAGCCCGTATGCCTGGGGGAGGCAGCAGGGGAGGAGAGTGCGGTGCGAAGCCGGGAGAGGAGCTGCCTGGCCCCGGTGCGCGGCCTGGGCCGAAGGGACGTGTCCCGCAGCGGCCCTGTTGGACGGACCAAGCCGTGGGTCTCGCCATCAGTTCCACATTGCTGGGTGCGGCCCGGCCATCCTCAAGAAGCCCAAGGTCCTCCTCTTGTGAAGCAGAGGAGCCTTCATTACTGCAGGCTGAGCGGTTGGTCACGCACATGTGGTGGCTGCCTTGTGCAGGTCAGCTGCGGCTTGTGTGTGAGCTTGGAGGCCTCGGCAGAAGACCATCCGTGAAGGTGAAGTTTTACACTAGAGCTCTGAAGGGTTTGCCGGCAGCCCTGTGGTTGTCTACCCTGGTCCTTCACATGAAGTGAAAGGAACCTGGTCAGCTGCTGTCCGAGAAAGGTGTAGCAGAGTCCCACAGAGCTTCTGCTGCCTTCCCTACCGGGAACAAAGGTGTAGAGGAATCACTGAGCAAAGAATGGCGTCCTCTTTGACTATTGCCCTGTCTAGTACCTGTGGTCTTGGGATTGCCCAAGGGATGGGGTGGAGCATCGTCCCCATCTACCAAGGGGAAGGAACTCTTGTCCTCACCTACCTGAGATCTCCCAAGCCACAGGGGACTTGAAAGTGCAGCAGTTCAAGGCTGCACATCAATGAAAGCTTTCAACTGCAAGGGTATTTAAGCACTAATATAGATAATTAGGGAAGCTGTGGAAATTTTGCCATTAAAAGTTTCCAGAGCAGATTAAAAATACATTTGGCAGTTTTAAAATTAGAGAAGTTTAAATAATATATATGGACCACCCACTTCTTCTGATAAACTGAATTCAGCACAATTTCTCTAATTAATGAACAATAAACAGTAGCCCATTTGGGTGTCTGACAAAAAAATGTTTCAATTGGCTAAAATATCAACATCAAGAAATCAGTTCCTGGCAAGCAATCAGCTTTTAAAATCAAAAATTAACATAAGGATTGTATTATGCAGATTTTATGTACTTGCGTAGCAGCTGGATTGACATAAAGTGCAACAGCTCCTTTTAAGTAGTCACATTACTGTATATTGGATTCATAGTCCTGAACAGAGAAGAAGTACGCACTTGGAGCTGTAACAACCTAATGTGACAACTCTCAAACTGTTATGACACTTGAAAAAAGTTTATTACAGATATAAAAGTGTGTTTAAATAATATTAAAAACAAGGTGCCAAGTTAATTAGCCAACCAGGTTGCTTTCCATATAGGACTTCATAGCCCTCAAACTTGCTCTGTTGAACTGCCGTCTTGCAAACTGACATTTTGAAGGAAAATGCAGTTATAACAATAACTTTTCCATTAATAAATATGTAGTATTGTTGCCAAATATCTAACTTTTTCGAAACATATAACTAGCAAAATGAATGCCTGGGTTTGAGCAGGGTGCCTGTAGAAAGCAATAAGCTTGTTCTGCATTTATCAGTTTTCTATCTACCGCTGGTCAGATTTCATGTGCTCTGCCACAGGGGCTAATTGGCACTTGGATGAGAGACTTGAATGGGAGTATTAGCTGCACTCAAGGAAGATGAAAAGCAGCATTTGCTGAAATTAAACATTTCCTAATCAGCATAGCTGCATAGTTAATGCTTGAGAATGTTAAAGACCTAGCTGAGGAATACTTTAAGTGGCTGAACTCGGTAAATTGCAAAGTTGTCCAGCTGAATTCAGCAATGGAAGAAAGGGAGGTGGAATGAAGCAGGGAACTGGGCAGTAGATCTTGCTTTTCAGGGCCAATACCCAGGAGAATCAGTGGACTCTCATAGCAAAAGTTATCAGTCAGAGAGAAAGAGTGCCAGCCAGCCTGCCATCTTGGAAGGTGGTCCTTGGAAGGAAGGAGTAGGTACTTTTGATAGAAACAACTGTTCTGACTCCCAGACCTCTTGTTGATTCCTTGCTCTAAATTGGAGCTTTTAATTCAATATCACATGGTGTTTACTGGGCTAATGAAATGAGATTGAATTAAGAGATTTTATATTGTATGGACTGGAAACTGGCTTACTGACACATCTTCGACATGTAGTTAGTGGTCAGGTGCCAGTGAACAAGGCTACTACTAATAGGATGCCTGGAAACTTTTTCTGGCTAAATTTTTAAACAAAATTTAATTTTGTTCAAAGATCTAAAATGTGGATGTAGCGGCTTCAGTGGCTATGCTTTTAAATAACACAGGCTATATAAAAAGACGTCACTATGAAAGTGGTTAAACCTTGAAACAAGTTGTCCAGAGAGATCTGGACAATGATGTGAAACCTTCATCTTTCAAGATTTTCAAACCTTACTGGGAAAGGACCTGGGCAACCTGCTCTGACTGTGAAGTTAGCCCTGCTTTGAGCAAAAGGTTGGACTGGCTATTCTTCAAGTTGTTTTCATCTTAAATTATTCTATGGTTCTGTAATAAGGTGTCCAAATTACTGCTAAGAATGAATAGCTGGACTAAATTATTACATTTAAAAAATAATGTGTTTTAATACTGCTGCAAGCAGGTGATGAAGAATGCAATGGTTACTTCCATGACGAGATTTTCTTTAGGAGGAGTGTTCTTGCATATCCATCTCAGCATTAAGGTCTTGGTGCGATGTTTCCAAAATGGCTGTTGTGATCCTTGAGTATGTAAAAAGAGGAATGGCAAATAGAACCAGGGAAATGATCTTTCTTGTGTGCATAGCATCCATAAAACACCTGACTGGAATACTGTGTCCAGATCTGGTGTTTTCCTTTCAAGATGGAAAATCAGCTTTGACATGAGGTTTAAGGACCTCCATCAAAGCTTATCAAAGAAAAGGGTAAGAAGGAAATGAATCACTGTGTGTAGGTCCATGTATATGGAACAGGTGTAATAGTGGAAGGATTTATACTCTTTAAATTTATAGCCTTATGCCATAAGGTGATCCCGTGACTGGAAGTTTAACAAATTCAACCTTGAGTAAGATGTACTATTCTAGCAGTAAGGATAACATAAGGACCAATTACTCACTGTTGCTTGAAATCTTAAAAAAAATCAGAGGTCTTTCTAAAAGGCTTGCTTTGATCTAACTTCTAAAGAAAAATAGAATGGCTGTGGTGTTCAGGAGGTTAGATGAGATAACAATTGTGAGCTATTACTCTCATGACTTTTATGACCCTTTGGCTTCCCTCAAGAATTGGTGCTACAAGGGCCGGACAATTATTTCTACACAGCACGGTGCAATGCAGCGTGGAAAGACGTATCACAGCTCTGAATGTGCTGGTTGGCTGCCGGAGTAGCACACCTCCCCTTGTCCTAAGCGTTGCGTGGGATAATTAACCCACTGGAACTAGGATGCTGCCCCATGACTGGAATACTGTGGTAAATGAACCATTCGCCTCAGTACCAGAGCCCTTCTTAACAGGTGGAAGCCCTGTTTCTGGTGGCTACAGAGGTGTGTAGCAAGAAGTCATGCCACAGTGGCACAGCTAAATGCATGTTTGGGTTACACAGTTACTTTTAGCCCTGTTCCAGATATTAGTCATCAGACTAAATGTTGTCAGGGCTAAATTTCACTTTAGGTACCTACATTTGGGTTTTTACCTACCTTTCCCATGGAATTTGTTTGTTCACATTCAGCTTTACATTGGAAAGTTTGTGGGGCAGATGCTTTATTTCACCCCGAGGCTACAAAATAGATAATTTATTTTATATACTATAGTTAGAGAATCATAGAATGGTTAGAGTTGAAAGAGACCTTAACGATCACCGAGTTCCAATCCCCCAGCTGTATCTTGTTTATGTCGCTTTTTGTTAAATGCAGTGTGTTACTCCACTGCTCTTGTATCAACTTGGTAGCTCTGGGGAATGCTGCACATTCTATTTGTAGGATGATCAGCTGTAGCAGTTGTTCCCCTATCAAACAAGCTTTGATTATGTTTGCACATTGCATGAAACTCCAGGTTATTTCAGAGAAAATTCCAGGTACAGAGAACTTTCAAGGCCCTAGATCACACTTCAGGGCTGATTCAGAACATGCACTCAGCCTTTTTTTTTGTGCTAACAATTAGCCTTGCACTTCAGCACAACTAAAAGCAGAGATTGCAGCAGTGTTGTAATATGGGCTGTGATTCTCAGAAGACTGAGAATTTTTGTCATCATTCAGATTTGTTTTTTGAGTGACATTTTGTGTCTACAGCGGAAAGAATCCTTCCTTTTTTAAAAATCCTTTGGTTAATCCCATGCAGTTTCCATGGCAGAGCTTGCTATTTGAGACATCTAATGGTTTTACAGCAGTTTGTTTATTGGGCAAAGAACTGCATCAGTTTCCCATAAGAAATATGATTTAGTGTTTTCTGAGCATTCTATGCATTACTCGTACAGTTCATTTTGCCCCAGGAGAGCCGTATCATGGCAAGTAATATTTCAGGTGGGCCGTAAGATCCTACTACAGGTGCATAGTTGTGTATAGTTCAGTACTTTTCCACTGTACCACTCTGTACCACAGGACTGTACTTTCCTACAGGACTCATTTTACATTCTAGTATTGTGTAATGGATTATTTTTTGTAGATAGTGCAATTACTGTTTTTCCAAACACTGGAACCTTAAAAAATACTTTTTTTTTTTTTCTGTTTTTGTTAAAGATTCAACTCCAGTTGACAACAGGGAGAACAGGATCAAGCTTTGCTGAAAATCTTCTTCAGCTACATTGAAATTCAGGTGGAGGAACCACTCAGTCCAGTGAGTTTTACAGTTTCCAGTGAGCTTCTACAAAAGCCTGTAAGTCTGTGTAGTCTTCTTAAAAATAACTACTGCAAAAGCTAAGAAAAGAGAACCAGTTGCTGGTAGGCTTACGTTTTCTGGTTGAGGGAGTGAGTTGAACCTTGGTGGGCAGGGTCCACCCTTTCTTTGAGGCAAGGAAGCAGTTTAAAAGCAGTTACAAATCAGTTCTTCAATCCATGATCACCTTTGGATTTCCTTGAAATTTGACTATTTCCCTTTGTTACAGTGACTTACTTATTTTGACTGTTTTAAGGATTGGATCTTGACCTAAAGTTTGTCAGTACTGAGGACCTTTGAGAAGAGTATAAATTTTGAGAAGAATGTAAATTTCCCACAGACATCTTCAGTTTGCTAGTTTAGTGCCAGTTCGGACTTCGTCTGCAAGCACTGTACCTGTAGTCTTAACATACATGTAATATATGAATTCACACAGTGGTTTTAGTTATTTGAACAACTGAAAAAAAGCATTGATTTGCCCTTCTCATAGACCAACATAATGAATTATCCACCTACCTTCTTTGTCCAGTCTATTAATATACATTTTGTATAGAATTTTTTGGATCAATGTGATTTCTTAACAAGAGTCCTATGGGTGTGAAAAAAAAAAAAAGAAAGTAGACTAGTCCATGGGAATATATTGATTACGCTTCACTGCGTTTCTCATTTTTTCCATCAAAGCATTCCTACACATGAAATAGATACTTAACTTTTAAAGGAAGTTAAAACAGCAGAACATATAATTTTAAATAGTTTCAGAATTATTAGTGGTGAGTGGTGAACTAAGAGATACAAGGAGGTGCATAGTCAAGTATGTAGCATAGAAAAAAAAAAAAAGAAGTGCAAGAACAAACCACAATTTCATAAAACTGCCGTAGCGAATTCATTCGGGAGTGTGAACAGTGCAACAGATAACACTGGCTATCAGTCTTTTATTTCCTGAAATTCTTAGTCCTTTGCTAATTTTCATGTGAGATCAGTGACATTATGATATGCATCTGAAAATGGGTGGGACACTGATTGCAAGGAGTTATTGTAATTAACTCTGATTTTAGTACACTCTGTAAGTACCTTTTCGAGCCATAAAAATTAAAATATGATTAAAAAGCCCTTTTGGGATCCAGAGTGCATTTTCAGATTTTAATTGGGAAGTGAAGAAAAGCGAGCTGCTTGCAAAGCTGATGTGTCTGCTGTCATAGAAGGTTTAAGTTAAGCTTAACTATTATCTGAAACCATCGATTATCTGATGAAGCTCTACGATAACTAGGTTTGTCAGTCTGAGTATTAAAAAGCACCAACAAACAAGTGAAGAATAAAAAACTGGAAACTTGGAGAAACAGTTCTGTGGCTAAAATGAAACTCAGCAGTATTTCTGTTTCAGTCCTGCTTTTTATTGAAAAAGGGGAAAAGATTAATTTTATTTTAGCTTTCAGAAGACAGATAATGATTGTACTGAAGCTTTCCTCTGCTTTTTTTGGTGACATGCTCACAAGAGATGACAGTATTTAAGTACTGCTGGGGACCAGAATGTCAGGGCTACTGATGATTGTTGTTGAGAATAATACTTTGTCTTCGGAAGGAAAGGGAGCCAAGGGGAAATATGATTAAGTTGTCTTGGTCTAAGAAGCAGTTTAATGATTATCTCTGCATCTCCAATCAACATCACTTCAGGGCTGATCTCTTTGACATTGTGAACAATTAAATCACATCTGGTCACTGCAATGCAGTCACACTCGCCAAGTTATTCCATTTCCTTGTGCACCCCAGAGGCAAAACCATCTTCAGGGCACGTGTGGGTTTTAGATGCATACAGATGCTGATACAACTGTGTGCAGTCCCAGGATTTTAGTAAACTTGTTTGTCTAGGCGCAGTTTGAAGTCTTAGTTCCTGAGCTGGAGAGTCTGCAAAGCTAATCCTGCAAACATCTGGGCATACTCTGTTCTTGCTCTCATGGCAAACTTACTTGCTTCGGTGCAGTCAACTAATGTGAGAACACATGCCTGAGTCAGTTCAGAGTCTAATTAAATGACATATACAGTATTTTCCTTGTGGAAGGCCTTCAGGGAAGCCTGAAATGTACAGATTTAAGGTTCTTGGCTGATTTTTTGGATAACTTATTTTTAATATTCAGAGGAACATTTCCTCTTGGCACTATACTAACAGTATTCTCCAACACATGCTGTTGTCCATCTGCTCCGAGCCCTCAGATGACACCATACTGGAAAATTTGCTCTTCGTTCACATTCAAAGCTGTCAAATTTGCCTTCGAGTTGACCCGTGTTCCATTCCAGGCCAGAGAACAAATTCTCAATTTTTTCCACTCTACTGGCTGCAGCACCGTCAACAGTATATACCTAAATTTTTCTTTAAATAGACAAATACTGCTGGGATTAGCACCAGGTCACAGGGGTCTTCTGCCCTGCTTTGTCCACAGCCACTGGTGATGAACAAGGCCACTGTAGCAGCGCTCACGTCACATCAACAGCTCTGATCAAACAATGAGCCTCTGGTTTTTCTCCAAGACTGTCTTATTTGCTGCAGCGACTGTCGGAACTATCGTACCTCAGCAGTGGTTGCAATGAGCTTGTAAGTTCTTGATACCATCAAGCTCTGTTTGATGGTATCATCTCCCTGCATTGGCACAAGAAGCCACCTTTTGTTACACCTCTTTGCCTAGTCAAGCAAATAGACATACAGTTAATTGTGTCCTGTGAGCAGCTGCTGGAGACAGTGTCTCTAAGCATAGTGACCACTGGACAGTTGCCAGCGGCCAGTTCATGTGAGGGCATCCCAGACCATTTGTGCCTCCCCCCAAAGAACACGTTCAGTCTTGCAATGATTCACAGGCCTCTCTAGCCTTTTGCTGTGACCTACTGTGAAACTCTAGATTCCTGACACTACCTCTATTGAGACACAGGAGACAAGGCAGTCACTCCTAAGTTGGCGAGTGTTATGTGATTTGGGGAATTGAACTGGACTCAAGCGTGGGCATAGGGACCAACTTAGCTTTACTTTGTGGTTCATTCGTTGCAGCAGCACAGAAAAGGAGACCATAAGAGTATCCCTAACCAAGATCTTCTTTGCCAGAGGGTGAAGTGGCAGGGTGGGGAACTGAAATTATCAGAGAGAAATCATGTTTTGGCTTGATTCTGCTTTGCTTATTTTTTCTGAATCCAACTATGTCCTTTCTCCTAAGTAATACTGGTTTTTTGTAGAATGTCCTCCAATATCTTTACCCTGGCCACTAAATGCACTTCATGTACTAAATTGCCCCAGCTGTGTTGAGGATCTGCCCTAAGTAGTTGATTACATATTACATTATGCAAAGATAGCTGAATCTACTTCTGCTGATCCAGCCATAAGGCTAATAAAATCAGCTAATAAAATCAGCAAAGGAACAGCACTGATTATATGGAAGAGGAATGAATCCTCACAATCCCCAAAAGGATTCGTCTGAGGAAAAGCAGAAGTGCTGCTGATCTTTATTTTCACCTTTTCTTTACCTTGAAAATGGTATACCCTGAGAGCAAGCTGTTCATATTTAGCTCTTGTCCAGCACCCTTCTGCAGTGATAACTTGCATCTCACTCATCTGCATCAGTGGAATACATTTAGTTTTCCTGTCTGGGATCCTCTCCACTAGATACATTGATAGACCCAATCTGCTATCTGCCAGTGAGTAAGCAGAGGTGCACTGCTGAAAACATAGCAGGATGAGGCCCCATATGCAGTGACATGCAGCTACAACGGACATGGACCAGCCTAATACTGTTACTATCGTCTATTACTGCAGTTCTTCCTATCGTCATGTGAGCTGCTCTTGTTATCACCTGATGATATCTCACACGCTAGGAGAGAGGGAAGAACTTGAGAAGTCTGGGTGATGAGAATAAGTTTGAGTCCAGCAGCTCTACTTCCTGTCTCCGGATCCGGTTCAGCTGTACCAGCTGGGGAATGTCTCCTGACCTTCCCTTGCGTTCTGAGTGACTAACCAGAGTGGAGCGTGAGACAATGTACAATGTCTGTCATTTACTAGGACTGAACTAATAAGCTTTGCTGAACCAAAGGAGACTTCATGGGGTTCAATGTCTCTGTGGTGCACTGTGTGTGAAACCTGCACGGGCAGTTAGAGTTAGACTTGGGTATGCATGACTAAGGCCACGTCAGTGGATTTCAGACAGGGAGAACTGAGTATCAGAAGACCGCATAGTCCAGAAACTAAATGAGGACAATAGCAAGAGAAGGGCACTGTTATTAGCAGCCTGTGGGATGGGAATTTGCTGGATTTGTCATTTTTTCATTTGCTCTTTGCCTGCAAAAGGTCTGAGTTCTGCAGTTCATTCATTTTTTTTTCCTACTGAAGTAAGACTGAACAGACTATTTTGAGCTTGAGTTTTCTGGCAGGAATAAGGGAAACTCTCTGTCTCACAGATGGGCCAGTGAGAGATTTAAAGTCTGTTTTCTTTTTTCCCTCCAGAGATACCTGTGAATTCTTAGTATCCATGCAAAAGAAAAGCTGCGTCTGTTTCCCAGGCTTGTGAGGGATTTCAGAACTGTCTTTATGTAAAACTGCTGAAGCTGGCTGTACTCCAGGGTATTTCCAAGAGAACAGGACTACTATTATGAACATATAACAATTTTTGAAGAGCAGGGGATTTCAGGATCTTGATTCAGATTCATCTTCTGGTGCGGGATTAGAACCATAAGGTGTGGAGCTGGAAGGATTTTCCCCTCTGTATGCAGACTTTCAATACATCCCCCATCATTTATGTGTGCTTTACATTTTCCCTCTGTGTTGAAGGAGAAATTTTGCCCACAACACAGTGCTCATCTTCTAGGCCAATAATGTAGAACCAGAGCTGGCTTTATGCTTAACAGCATCACAGAATGATATGGGGTTGGAAGGGACCTCTGGAGATCATCTAGACCAATATCCCTGCCAAAGCAGGTCCACCTAGAGCAGGTTGCACAGGAACATGTCCAGGTGGGTTTTGAATGTC